GGGGACTTATGACTTCCAGTGGGAATGGAGAGAAAAGAACAATTCCCTGAGAAATGAAAGAGTTCAGTGTCAGATGGGAGGAAGGCAAAGGGAGGGTCAGGGACAGCTTGTTGGGCTGATGGGGAGTTCATTTCCCCAGGTGCTCCACCCCATATAGGAGTAGAGTCTGGGGGCAGGGACAGGCTGCGGGCAGAAGATGAGGAATTTGCTATTTGAAATGTCCAGGACACCTGTCTTTGGGTCTGGACACAGAACAAAGGGGCTGTGAAAGGGAGGATCCCAGGTGTCTCGTTGGCCAGTTGGGCCTGAGCATCTCAGGGTAGTGGACTCGGAAGCTGAGCGGACAGGTGTCTCCAGGGCAGAAAGCTGGAAGAGCAGAGGGTCCTGGAGGGGACTGTGCTGGGCTCTGAAAATCATATTGGAGCCTAGTTGTCAATCATGTTGGAGAAATCTCTCTCTTTTTTTCCCCCACTCTGAGTCATCTCTGGCTCAGTGGTATTCATCTCCCGACAGGTACGCTCAAGGAGGGTCACTGGAAATGTCTCCCAGGAACGTCCAACTCTCAGGGCTAGGATGTCTCCCTCACCCAAGATTATGAAGAGACCTCCACCCCTAGCAAAGCCTGCTAGATCCAGGCAGCCGGTGCTGCTCCAACCAGCAGGCCGTGCAGTGCCTAGCAATTTGTCCCCTTGCCTTTCACATTTCTGATTGCAGTCTTGAGTAGCCTGCAGTCAGTTGTTGATGAGGACATCATTCTACCCTGCCTGGTGCCAGCTTCCTCAAGCCCAGGACATCCATCACCCCCTGGTAATCTGGCCCCCTCGGTTTTGTGCCGACAGGTGATGGCTGGGGTTGGTCTATGCCTGACCCAGCCTGGGGCATGCTGGCCACAACTCCACAAAATGAGTCATTTGCTGCCAGCCTGTCCCTGCTCCCTGTGCCCCTTGCAACTTTAATGCAAATGTCACCCTGGGATCCTATCCTTGTGGGATTCTTTTTTTTTTTTTTTTTTCTCCTTAAAGAAATACCATATTAGAAAGGACATTTGTCCTCTCTCCTGTTTAAATTGCTTTCCACGGGTTCAGGAGACCTGGCCATTGATTTTCTTCTAGAGAGTGCAGTAAGCCCTGTGAAGATTTTGGCTAATTAACTTTTAGAGAAGTGCTTGGATTTATCAAGGAGGTTGAAGTCTTTTTTTTTTTTTCTCCTCCCACATCTTGAAAAAGGCTTTTAACTTTTGTTTCCGAATTTCTGCCAACACTCGATCTGTTCAAAAGGGACGTCCCTGGAGACGATAGAAGAGGGGCTGTTGGATGTCACCTTTTCGCAGCCTCAATTTTTAAGACAGTTGTTTCAGTGTGCAGAAAATCTTTTCTGTTTATCTAAGGGAGGAATCATTCACACAAAGATTACATTTAAACATATACATCTACCCTGGCATGCCCTGTTACTAATAATACCGCATATTAGGAAAGTGGAAAGTATTTAAGATGAAATTAATTTTTTGCCTCGTGTGCCACTTTGTTTGACTTTCTTGTTCCATTTGGTGTGAGGCACAAATATTGGCCAGCCTCACTTTTCCTTTTTTGCAAGTTTGCTTTCTTGTTCCTCTCATCTGGGCCAAAGTGGTTGGAAATGAGTTACTAGCATATCAGGAAAAGCCCAGCAAATGGAAACCCTTTGTTCTCTAGGAGTTTTGGTGGACAATTTCTCTCTCTCTCTCTCTCTCTCTCTCTCTCTCTCTCTCTCTCAGCAGACTTTCTGAGGGTAACATCTTTTTAGTGGTCTGTCAAAAAATCATGGGAAATCTGTCCATCCGGCACTCTCGCCAGTTCTCATCAATGTGGTGTGGCTGCCTGCAGGAGAATCCTGGAAACCCTGGAGGAGCCGTGTCACCTTGCCTGGGCAGAGCTGCCTGTAAAAGTTCTGTACCATGAGCTATATCACCTTGGCAGAAGGAAGCATTCAACCTGGTGTGACATAGGCGAACACTTTGTTGAAAAGAGTTTTTCATTTTTGGTTACTCTTGTGATACTTGTTATCAATTTAGATTATACCAGTTTATGTGCCATTCCATTTTATAGCATATTTTTTTTGGGGGGTACTGGGGATTGAATTCAGGGGCACTTAACCACTAAGCTACATCCCAAGCCCTTTTTTGGTGGGGTACCCAGGGTTGAACTCAGGGGCAGTTGACCACTGAACCATAACCCCAGTCCTAATTATATTCTCTTTAGAGACACGGTGTCATGAGCTACTTAGGGTCTTGCTAAGTTGGTGAGGCTGGCTTTGGACTTGTGATCCTCCTGACTCAGCCTCCTGAGCTCTGGGATTACAGGCGTGTTCCACTGAGCCGGGCCCGTTTTATAGCATCTTCATAGGTTTCATCTCCCCTCACCAACTTATTTCCAGCTGTGTGACTATTATATGTGGATGATAGTTTGATTTTGTAAGGATACTTTCTGAGCATGCTCTGCTGTCCCTATGAGGGTGACCATCTTCAGAGGTTTTTTTTTTTTTTTAAAACGCAATAAGTTTCCAAATGATGTCTCAGAAGTGTCCATGGTCATATTCTCCCATTATAAGATATTTTCTTTGAATTCTTTGTTAGAATCTGACTCATGACTTAAAAAAAAATAGTATAAAAAGGACTGTTACAAATTTTGATTTCTAAAAAGTGGTGGTGAAGATGTGCAACCAGTTGGGACTCTAGTGCCCAGTTGGTGGGATTGTAATATGGTGCGACCACTATGAACATTCAGTACAGGTGTGCTTCAAAAACTTTAGAATAGAAATTACCCTGTGACCTAGCAATTCCACTCCTGGGTCTATACCCGATAGAGCCAAAAGCAGGGGCTTGAAGAGACATTCGTGCACTCGAGTTCATTGTAATGTTATTCATGATGGTTAAAATATGGAACCAATCCAGGGGTCCATTGACCAACGAATACACACACACACACACACACACACACAGGAATATTATTCAGCTTTAAGAGGAAAGAAATTCTGACATATGCTATGACATGATGAACTTTGAAGATATTACACTAAGTGAAACATGCCCATCTCAAAAAGACAAATACCGTATACCTCTTATGTAGACGACTTCTATGAGGCACTTAGCGCAGTCAAAATCATAGAGACAGAAAGTAGGATGGTGTCTCCCAGGGCTGAGGAAAAGGGAGGTTAAGGAAGTTATTGTTTAATGGGAATATAGTTTCAGTTTTGCAAAAAAAGAAAAAAAATTCTGGCATTGAAGGGACTATGAATGTCCTTGATACCACTGAGCTGTGCACTGAAAAACGGTTAAGATGGTGAAGTTTATGTGTTTGGTGCCACAATTTAAAAAATTGGCAAAAAAAAACCCCTTGGATTAGTCAGCATTTCATCACTGTGACAAAATACTTGGGAAAATCAACTGAGAGGAGGAAAGATTTATTTGGCTCACAGTTTCAGAGGTTTCAGTTCATGGTTGGCTGGCGGCACTGTTTCGGGGTCTGTGCTGAGGTAGTACATCATGGTGGAAGGGTGTGGCGGAGAGAAGCTGTCACCTCATGGCCAGGAAGGAGGGAGAAGGTGGGGGAAGGGGGAGACTGGGGGATAAGATATACCCTTCTAAGGCATCCCCTAGCCCCTAACCCATTTCCTCCAACTAGGCCCCACCTCTTATTAATGCCATCAAATTATGAATCCGTCAGTGGATTAATCCACTGGTGAGGTCAGAGCTCTCAGGATCCGATTTCTTTCCCAAAGCCCCACCTCTGCACATGAGTGCCTTCAACACATGAGCCTTTGGGGGACATGACAGGTCCAAACCAGCCCAACCCCCAACTTTACTTTCTTTATTTCTCTGAATATTTTGGTGAAGAAATATATCATTTTTAACTCAAAGACTTTCTCTCCAAGAGTTTGGCTTCCTCAAATCTACAAACCACCACAACAAAGGGACATTCATATGTTGCTTCCAAATGAGCTACTGGATTCTCCCTCTGCCCCTGCAATTCCTGTGACTCCTCTCCTTTCTGCCCCTCTCCCCCTCCCAGAGGCTCAAGTTGACCTGGCAGAGGTCATGCTATTACATTCGCATTTCCTTGGGACATTTATTAGTTTCTACGGCGTGTCTGTGTTTTATTTGTTAGGTATTTAATTTCACCGATTGTTTGTTTTACATTTGATCAGTTATATCGGTGTTATATTTTGGGTCTTTGAAAAGGACACTGTCTTTAAGTTAGCAGCATTACCAGGTGTCCAAGGATACCAAATATTCAGGAACATAAAATTTACTGGGCTTTATCAGATAACCACTCCTGCAAGCCATAAAGGTCTTCTACTTGTGTCTCCAACTCTAGGGGTTGAATTATTTTGAGTTCAGATACTATTTGAAATGCTTCTTTTGTTTTCTATCAGGGAAAGTCATTTAACTATGTGGTTTAAAAAGATCGGTGCTTGTCTCTTTCCACCTCCTTCTCCTTATACTAATAAATACTCCTTACTTTTACAGGCTGTTTTCTCTGTCCCTCTGGTTTTTGTTTATGTAGAGCATTTCTCTTCTATTGCAATAGGAATCTGGGTATCTTTGCTGGTGGTTTGGGTTCACCTAGAGTGCCTTTGCTGGGGACTCCTGAGAACAAAATGTGGCTAATGGGAGACATTGGAGAGAAGGCTCTAGAAGCTAGAGGTCCTATAGGCCTCATACAGAAGGTAGTTCCAGAGCTACCTCCATCTGGAGCTGCATCTCATGCCTGCTACAGCAGGGACTGGCAATTTTTGCTCCTGGCTTATTCTTGGGGGACCCTTTGCTCTATGTGCAATGGGTTTCTAAGTTACCTGGTAGATTTGGGATGGGAAGTAGAATGTGGTAGAGACCCGATGCTGTTACCTTCTTTGCCTTTGATCATCAAGACAGCAGAGGCTTCCCAGAGAGGGAAGTGGGGGACACCTGTGTCCCTCGGGGTGTGTTTCTTGGCTTCACTCCTCTGTTTACTATCTCCCCGCAGGCTCGGGGACCAATTCTACAAGGAAGCCATCGAGCACTGCCGGAGTTACAACTCGCGGCTGTGTGCGGAGCGCAGCGTGCGTCTCCCCTTCCTGGACTCGCAGACGGGGGTGGCCCAGAACAACTGCTACATCTGGATGGAGAAGAGGCACCGAGGCCCAGGTGAGCTGTGCCACTTCTGGGACGTGCTTGCACGTGGGTTCCCAGGCTGGAGGGAGGAAGACCTGAGCTTCTGGGAGTCCAGAGACAAGCTGCACCCGCTTCCAAGACACTCAGCTGCTTTCGTAGCTCTTGGAAGGTGTTCCAAGGAAGGGGACAAGGGTGGTGTGGGCCCTGGAGGCTGGGGGGCTGCGGGGGGAAAGAAGGTAACAAGAGTACACAAGAACAGCCTTCGTCTTTCATCCTCGGTGTGATTACAAGTTGAAAATCTGTAGTCAGATATGGGTGGGAGGCTCCGCTTGTCACCAACTCTCTGACCCTCAAGTTCCTTCTCTGTAAAAGGTGGATAACATTAATATTTACTGCTCAGGGTTTTGTCAGGATTCAATGAAAAGGTTCAAAGAAAACTCATGACATGGTATGTGTTCCAGAAGTGCAGGATATTATTGTTGATATTACTGTATTATTATTACCATGACACTAGTCTTCAGGCTCCAGAGAACAAAAGAAAGACCCATTTTTGGAGATTAGGGAGGCAATACAGGAATGCAATTTTCTGGCTTTATATGGGTACATCTAAAAAAAAAACTTTTTATTTTGAAAAATTTTACACCCATATAAAAATGAAGAGAATGATAAAATGGATCTCCATGTGTCCCAAAGACCAACTAAAATGGCCAATTTCATTTCATTTATACACACCTGCCACTTTTTTCTCCGACTTCAGATTATTTTGAAGAAAATGTGGGACATTATTATTTCATCCACAATCTTTTTTAAAATGTATCTCTAAATGTTAAGGACTTAAAAACCTCAAACTAACCTACAATTGCTTTGAAATTTCAATGATACTTTAATATCATCAATGATTTGGTCAACATTCATTTTCTTTCTCTGTTTAAATCAGGATCCAAGTAGAATCCCTACGCTGAGATTGGTTGACATGTCTTTTAAATTTCTTAAAATGTGAAGGTTTCTGTTTCTATCTCTTCTTCCTCTTTGCATGTTATTTGTTGAAGAAACTGGGTTGTTTGCACTGTAGGGTTTCCCAGAACCTGGGTTTGCTGATGGCATCCCTATGGTGTTATTCCCCTGAATTGGTAATTAGGTCTAGAGTCTTATTCAAGCTCAAATTTTTCTTTCTTTCTTTCTTCTTCTTCTTCTTCTTTTTTTTTTTTTTTTGGCAAGAACAATTCCTAAGTGGGTATTGTGTACTTTCATCAGGAGGCTCATATGGTCTGGTTATCTCTCTTTTCTGATGTTAGCAGCCCTCGGTGATAATTGTCTAGATTCCTTATCCCATTAAGAGTTGCAAAAAGGTGACATTTGATTCGAGGCCATTGTTATTTTCTTCATTTATTAGCACTACAGCTTCTATAAAGAAAAAACATCCCCTCATTAAAATTTTTTGGCTATTAGGAAGTATAGTTGACATAAGAAAATCAGAATAACCGATTTTCCCTTTATTTACCTGTATTCAGAATAATGAGTAGGCTCCCTGGTAGTCTCCAAAGGTGATCAATAAAGTTATTTTGAGCACCTCCGAGAACTCAGACTTACGCATATCTGATGTGCTTGAATCCACGGCTGCCTTTCTTCTGATGGATGCTTATGGTGTCCCATCTTTGCCCAGTTCGGGGTTTGGGCCAGTGCTGGTATTTTGACACATTCCCAGTAAGTTTCTGATAGCCTCCTAGCTCCCCTAGTATCTGGACAAAATGTTTCCAGGTCACCTGTGTCCTTCCTGCCGCAGACCTGAATCAACAATTTCTCTAAGAAACCCCAGTTGCTTTGTGTAGGAAGTGTTATTAGAGACCAAGGACTGTGGTATTCGTTCATTGCTTCTGAGATGATCATTGTTTCTAGGTCTTCTGAGTGGGCAGAATTAGGAAATATTTTTCTTTTCTGAAGCAGGAAAACATTATGAAATTATACTGATATTTCCCATTCAATTCAGTTTTACACAGTTTATACTTAGTAATTTTAATTTTGGGTCTCCTTTCTCCCACATCCCAAAAATCCTGAATAGCTGGGTGTGATGGTTCATGCATGTCATCCCAAATGGCTCAGGAGGCTGAGGCAGGAGGATGGGAAGTTCAAAGCCAGTCTTAGCAATTTAGTGAGGCCCTAAAGCAGCTTAGTGAAACCGTCTCTCAAAGTATAAAAAAAGGGGGGCTGGGAATGGGGCTCAGTGGTTAAGTACCCCAGGGTTCAATGCTTGGTACCCCCTGCCAAAAAAAAAAAGAAAGGGTTAAGGTGACCACAGGGATTCAGGAGGTTGAACTGAGTTAGGGCAAAAAGCAGACAAATACCAAATGCAAAGGGTCACTGTGGTCAGATAAGATTATAAACCAGCGGAAGAATTTGTTGAGGGCCCAGAACTGTCAGAGTGCGGGAACTTACTCTAGGACAGGGTTGAGACAGATGGTGGTAGTTGCAGAGTGTCAGCTTGGAGTGAGCTGTACATGGTCATCACGGCTAGTTCTTCTGCCCATGGCTTAGGCTGTGCTTTGCTGAGGTTGAAGGATAGAGATTTGGAGGTTCATCCTGGTGGTGATTTTCCTTGGCGAGGCTCCTGATGAGTGACCAGGCGATGGGGTCAGTGTCACCATGTTCAGTACTGGGGTGCTCCTCCTTTTATGGACCTTAGGTGAGGGATTGGCTTCATTGGGTGATCTGGGGTGTTGGGTAACTCATGGGCCTAACATATTTCTGATATGAGTCTGATATGCCCATGCAGCCATGTGCTTCTGATTCATTTGGCAAGTTCACAGGTGGTCATTTTTATTAGCACAATTAATTCATGTATCAGCTTGTGCCTTATGGTTGTGCTAGGCAGATGGTGATTGTTTACTTGTACAAAGTGTAGAGTCATTCGACCTCAGCACTTGGATTCAGAATGGAGTAAATCATGACAAACTACTGTGTTATAAAATGGAATAACCCAGAGTTAGGCACAGCCTAAAGACTAGCCTTCTATTCATCATGGAGTAACTCTCCACAATTCTTCTCATTGTGTTCAATATTTCCTGGGGATTTAACTCAGCCCTTGTCTACCATGGATTGTCTACATGGATTGTCCACCAGCACTTGTCTACAAATTTGATTTTGATGTGTCTTGCCACAGATTTTTATGGCTTTACCCTGTTTGAAATTTATTCAGCTTTGCAAACACACACACACACACACACACACACACACACACACACATATGTATATATGATATATATCTATTTGCCACATTTGGGAAATCTTTACTGAATATTTCCTTGTATATGTCTTCAAAGCTACCCTATTTTTCCTCTCCTTCTGAGATTCAAACACAACAAATGTCAGAGCTTTTATTGTATTTATTTTTTGTTACTATTTTTTGGTTCCTGAATTTCCATTTGGTTCTTCTTTCTATTTATTTTCTTTCTTTTTAATATTTTTAGTTGTAGATGGACACAATACCTTTATTTTATTTATTTATCTTTATGTGGTGCTGAGGATTGAACCCAGTGCCTTCCACGTGCTAGGCGAGCGCTCTACCACTGAGCCACGACCCCAGCCTTTTGTCTGTTCTATTTCTTTGTGGAGACTTTATATATTTCACTTTTGTTGCGCGTGTTCACAGTCGTTTGTTGGGGCATTTTTATGACGACGGTTGTAAGATTTTTAGGAGCTAGTTCTAGCATTGGCATCGTTTTGTGGTTGGTGTCTGTGTCTTTCCTCGGTCTTCATCTGATGACTGATTTTGACTGAGTCCTGGACATTTCGGCCATTGTGCTGTGAGACTCTAGAAGTTATTTAAATCTTCTGTTTTAGTCGGCCTCCTCCGATGCTGTGCTAGTGGGGGAAGAGGAGGTGCTCCTTGTTCTGTAGATGGGTGTGGAATTGCCGGTTCTTCACTGAGTCTCTGTTGACTCTCCCCCCACTGGGGCAGGAGTGACTGTCATTGCTGTTCAGTCTTCCCTCTAGGCCCCAAAGAACACCTCGGGGTGTCAGCGTCTCTCTTGGCCTTTGCTGAGGTTTTGAGATCCCTGGTTATCTGGTTGACGTGGTCTCATTCCTGGGCTTTTAGTTAGAGAGAGAGAAAGAGCAGGATTTTCTCAGGGCACTTTTTGGCCTGCATTTGTGGGTGTTTTCAGATTATCAACTTCCAGGACCCAGCCCTGGATACACGATGCAAAAAGAATATTCAGGGAACCTCCCACTCTGTTGTCCCTCAGGTCCCAGGGCCCCCAGCTGGACTGCTGGTTTCCTTCACTTCAGTATTTTCTGGTGTTTGTTGCAGGAATAACGTCCGGGATATTTAACTGTACTTAGTGGGAGGAATATGGAAAAGTTTATCTACTCTTTGTTTTCAGAAGCGAAAGTTCCTGAAATTGATTTTTTATTTAAAAAAAATTATTCAAACTTTTGAGTTTTAGATTTCAGAGCCTTTTGGATTTTTGGATTAGTGATGCTCAACTGATAAAGTCTACATAAATAATAAAAAATCTGAAAAACTCAGGCCTGAAACACCTCTGGTCCCAAGCATTTCAGACAAAGGATACTCAACCTGGATAGCTATATAAGATAAACAGTATGTATTTAATATGTATGGTTTGATAAGTTTTGAAACGTATATACCTGGGAAACTATCACTACAACCAAGATAATGAACAGAGCCACATACCCAAGGCAGTTTCTTTTATCTCTTGCAATCATCGCCCTCTCTTACTTCTTCCCCTGAGGCAATTACTGACCTGATCTCTGTGCGGGAATCATACACTCTATAGTCCTTTTTGAGGGGGCAAAAGAGCATCTGGCTTCTTTCACTTAGTCTAATTATATCGAGATTCTTCCAGGTTCTAGCATGTATCAATAATTTACTTCTCTTTACGCGGAGTGCTCTTTTACTGTACGACTGTATCTTGGCTTATCCATTTACCTGTTGATGGGCATTTAGATGGTTTCTAGGCTTTAGGCTGTTGTAAATAAAGTTATACTGGGCTTGTGTATAAGTCTTTTTTTTTTTT